TCTACATAGTAGTTGGTATATTGGTTGAATTGTGAACACTTCCGATGCATTTATGAGGTGGTATAACCATATACTTGTGCATTACAGAAGTACCACAGCGTTTAAATGGAAAAGTGTCTGGCAGAATCAACAGTGTTGAAATGGAGCGTATTGATTTACACTCTTACGCTGTCACTAATGATGGACGTTCCTTTACCGCTGTTAGCCGTGTACCAATCAGTATTGGATATTCTATGCAAGCATTGCAACCTCTTGGTGCTGTCATTGGTTGGGTATTCGCTATGACAGCAAGTAAAGGAAAGAATGGATTTGGACTAACTGGTAAGTATATTATGTGGTGAAAGTATGTATGAAAGCAGTATGGAAATCAAATCGACTAACATGTAGCTTAGTTTTATGTGTTCCTGATGAGTTCCTGTACTGCCTGATTGCATACTTTGCTGTATTCACATGATAACCTTATTTTTCTTGCTTGTAGTAATGATTCTATGATATATAACTGCTAGTAATGGCAACAAAACCCAGTTTGTGCTGTTTGAATATTTGCATTCAACAATGGGATTCTATTTCCATCGCTTGCTAGAGCACATCTACTCCATTGTATACAAAGGAAAGTGTTTGAATGAGAAGTCACTAATGTTAAATGTGTCAATGTTGGTGACGTAATATATTCCATATAAGGTGAATGTTGTGCTGATGTACTCTCAGTTAATACAGTGTTATTTAGTCATTGTATCACACGAGTCCTGTGTAACAGATAAAATCTGCAGGGCCTGCATTTGTTTGAGCTGTACATCAAACAGATAAAATCAGCCAGTCACTCTGTTGTGAGTTCTGTGTAACAGGGTTGTATCCATTTGCAGGTGGTATTTTTACTCGTACCGCTGATATTTCATTTGGTAGTGGTGAAAGAGTTACTGTAAAAGAGAGATTCACTGGTATTGATGAACTTGGGTATATGCGAATGACAGCAGAATTAGATGGTACCCTTCCTGCTATACCACCATCAACTGATATTACAATAGAAGATTACAAGGAAACATATACTAGACTCTCACCAGGTAGATATTTTTATACACAACTGTATGATT